GGCCTGTACTTATGTAGCATTTTTCAAGTCAGAGGACTTGACCAAAGTGCTTGACAATAAATTCAGTCACACACTCACTGATGGTGGCAAGCTACATTGTAGCCACAGCTGCCCTGGGGCTCACTGACAAAGGCGAGGCTGCCTTACACTGGCACTACCAGGCCCTCTAACCACCATCAGTAGACAATGCAGGTGAGTGTCCTACCCAACGACACAACAACACCAAAAAGCCAGAGCCAAGGCTTGAACTGACAACCCTCCGGTTGCAAGGCAAACTCCTGTATCCAACGCCACTGTCACCCCACATGAAAGAACTTAAGCAAGGGGAGAAAAAGGACGAGAGGGTGGAAAGGTTAAGAAGATGGCAGGGCAGAGTCAGAGTAAGCAGCATAACCCACAGAGCTATTGAAAAGGGGGGGGGAGAATCAATTAGTATGGTTTAGAACTGTTGATGGTCCGGAGATCATATATTTCTGCTGATACTGCAGAACAGAACTTGTAGCCTTAACAATAACAATATAAATATAAGTAACAATATAATAAACCCACCACAAAAAAAATAAAATAAATGCAGAGAAAGAAAAATAAATAAATAACCCAAATGAAAACCCATAACACAATTTGCCAGCAAACTCTACACATGTGGTATGTGTATTGCTGTAATCATATTTAATTATTTCAGCCTGTCAAAAGTAAGATACCGCTGATGTCTCATGTCCAAAGGTTTTCCAGAGACAGAAAATGTTTTTTAATCATTCTATTCAATTCTAGAATGATTAAATGTGTATTGATCTTTATAACTGTTGGGCATGACTGGCTTGATTTCCTATCTTGTTATTAATTCATATTCATTTTCTAAAGACTGACCTTCTTGATTTGGTAACCCTGAAATGTGATGTCTCTGCTGGTTTTATGAGGAAGCGCATTGGGAACGATGCTGGCCAGTCTTTGAGTCTCGTGGATAACAGCATCAGTGAAGGGCAGACTCCTTCTGTCTGCTACCTGGACCTGACGATCTCCTATCACCTTCCTCAGCTCCTCTTGGACCTGCTCTTTTAGATAGAATGGAATGAAAATAATGATCTTTTATTCATAGAATTACCATTATAACAAGATAAACCTCTAATTTCTTCAATCCATATTGTCTTCGTGGTAGTAAAGTCTTTACCTTGTATCTTTGGATATTTGGCCATAAGAAGAAGGCCCCATCTCAGAGTGGTGGATGTCGTCTCAGTCCCGGCGTTGAACAAGTTTGTAACTGTCGCAAAGAG